ATGTAATTATGTGATAAAGCAAGGGGCAAATATGTAATAAGTGAGGAGTCCTTATTCTATAAAAGGACCATTCACCCTCACAATTAGGGGAGACCAATTCCTAAGGCTCCTCACCCCCTCTTAAAGCTTTCACTCTCAAAGTTCTCACTCTTAGAGCTCTCTCTCATTCAGAAATATAATTAGTGTGGATGTAGCCCAAACCTTGGGGTGAACCACGATACATCTTGTGTCATTTACATTTATTACAGATTCATGGTCGGATTTACGTTGTACCAAGACCTCCGATTTTGTGCATCAACATTTGGCGTCGTCTGTGGGAATCGACACAAAAAGCTATGTCGGTTCTCCTTCATTTTTTTTTCTCACCATTGTGAGACCTCACCACACTCCACCTTGAATCTGCAAAAAACCGTCCAAAAACCCTTTTTTTTTTCTCTCTCTCTCTATTCATTTTTGGAAGATTTACAACTCACAAATCGGTCTACACAAAACTCTGCGTTTTGCTGCTTTCTGGGAAAAGAAGCCATAAGCAACCCAATTGAGCCCACAACGACATCGTCTTCAGCCAAGGATATGGCCCTCCTGATTCACCCGCGTCGCGAGTCGTTCAAGCTCGGGCTACTGCCCATCCCCAAGCCCATCTTCACCGACCCAACCTTTGCTCAAGCAGAAGCTGATCATAAAGTCGCCGAGTCACCGAGTCGACTCATCCGCGATCTCTGATGCAGCTCAGATTGCAAGGCATCTAAGGGTAGTCTCATTATTCTTGAACCAATGAAGAAAATTTCACCCAACTCGCCCATGGGTCAGTCGCCACTTCCCATTAGGTTCCTCAACCAGTCCCTGAGCGCCCGATTTCAGGCCATGTCGCAAAACCTATAACCTAACACGGCGTCGTTTAATCTCGTCCTCAAGGCCATGCACTGGGCCAGAGAGACAGAAGCCGCAGATAAATTGCTCGAAAGGATGTTGCATACAGGGAAGGAATCTCCGCCTGATGAAAAGTCTTATGAAAAATGATTGCCCACCATCCTCCTTTGACCACTGGTCCAACCTCTCTCACACACTCTTTCTCTCTCTCTCTCCCTCTCTCTAAAAGTCAAAAAATACATTCACCAGCCGTGATAGTCCGTGATAGTCCGTGATATTTTTCATGAGGATTACGCGCACATAGGGGATGGCGACAGGCCGTGATAGTCCAGTGCGGCCAGACCTTATCCAGAGCCATGCGTTCCGTCCCTGGCTTCTATTGGATCAACGAGTCATATCGAAGACCATCAGATTCCAAACCCAAACTCGCACCCCAGGGAAAAGATGAAGCCGAAGAGAATTAATGAGAGAAAGGCGAAGGGTCTTCAAGAGTAGGGGCAACTAAATGAAGGGAGCGGTGACGTTCGTTCAGTGAACAATGGTTGGGCAGCTGGACGCCTGAATTCCACCATTGCCGGAGAAGAGAACTGTGTATTCAGCTCAAATAGAGTTCTCAGGCAATAATAGATACTTTGTGACTCAAAACCATAGTGATGGTATTCTCACTCTGAGTATCGGTGTTCTTCATTTTTCTAGGATAAGTCCTGCATCCCCGGGCGACTTGCAAGATGAGTTCTGCTATGACAGCAGTAGCATACCCCACACCAGCTTCCTCCGCTGCACCGAGACCGTATCATGTGCAAGCTCCACCACCTGCCGGCTACCCGACGAGAGATGAACCTCAAAACGTCATTCCTGTAGAAACCAAGTCAAAGGGTAATGGCTTCTGGAAGGGCTACTGCGCTGCTCTCTATTGCTGCTATGGCTATCTTCTTCTTTCTTCCTAAATTTAACAATTTACTAAGTGGTAGGTGAAGAGTATCGGCTTCACCCATGCAGTGGACATGTTCCTTCAAAACCACCGCGGCTTTGGTTCTCTCTCTCTCTCTCTCTCTCTCTCAATGGATGCTGATTCTTTGGAAAAGTCATCATCCTTGAGCTTGCCTCTAATCGTTGGTAAGGAGCAACATGAGCAAGCTGGAAGCAAGGGACTTTCAAGCACCTGGCAGTGGCGCATCTGGGCATTCAGTAGCAAGGATGAGTTTGGGTCGGACGAGAAAACCCCCTTGGTGGCTTTGGCGTCTCCCACACACGCTGGGGACACTGAGAATGGCGCGGAGGATTGTTCTAGCATTTGCAAGTGGAGCAATCATGTGCTCACATGTCAAAAAAGCAGTGAAAAGAGAAAAAGAAAAAGGGATCGGGCCTGTTTTCATCCACATCTACGCAAAAAAAAAAAAAAAAAAAAAAAAAAAAAGAGGAGTGAGAATGGATCGGTTCATATACTGATAATGATGAGTATTTAGATCAATACAGGTGGCTGTAGAAGGAGCAGTGGATTAAATAAAGGTTTCGAAAATGTAAAGTGGAAGATAATATGCTCGATGCTCAGATTGATGTAGCCTATGCAGCATTGGAAGATGCTGGGTTTTCAAAAAGATGGAAATTATTATACAGGGTGGGCTTCACGTGGAGGTGACGATGAAGCTGCAGCTTTTGGTGCAATGGGGTCTATGATCTGACTGCATTGTTTCTACTCATTGCTCTCGGCGCAGAGACACTGTAAAGATTAATTAGGTGCACATGCATGACAACAGCGCACAGACAGACAGAAAGAAAGTGCAGCAGAAAAACACAAGCAAAAGCAAGAAATAAACATCCCACCAAAATAATGTAATTTATTTTTATTATCTTTCGGAGACATCTATATAAACCCCATCAGAGGGTAATATGTATAAACCCCATCAGAGGGTTAAAAAAAAAGTCCAAAATAAATGGGCTGGCATGTTACGGAAGGCGAAGGCCCATAAGCCCAAAATAGCACCAACCAGGTGACCAAAAGTACACCCAGTACTCCAAAATTATTCGACAACTTGCCGCTATTACCACCAACCAGGTGATGAAATGTACAACCCGTACTCCAGTATCATTTAGCAACTAGCCACTTATACCACCAGCCAGGTGATGAAATGTACAACCCGTACTCCAAAATCATTTGGCAACCATCCATTCATGCCACCAACCAGGTGATGAAATTACAACCCGTACTCTCCTTCATGCCACCAACCAGGTGATCAAAAGTACGCCCAGTACTCCAAATTATACATGAGCATTACTCATGTCATTCATACATAAACATTCATAAGCATCACTCATGACAATCATACATAAACATTCATGACCATCATTCATGTCAACATTCATGAGCATCACTCATGTCAATCAACATAAACATTCATGAGCATCACTCATGTCAATCAGCTTCAAAAGCTTCATTTACAGAGCTCTAGCTTCACAAGCTTCATTTACAAAAGCTCTAGCTTCAAAAGCTTCATTTACAGAGTTCTAGCTTCAAAAGCTTCATTTACAAGAGCTCTAACTTTAAAAGCTTCATTTACAGTAGCTCTAGCTTCAAAAGCTTCATTTACAGAGCTCTAGCTTCAAAAGCTTCATTTACAAAAGCTCTAGCTTCAAAAGCTTCATTTACAGAGCTCCAACTTCAAAGCTTCACTTGCAAAGCTTCACCTACAAAGCTTCAATGCAGGGTATACAAATACCGCCTCCGAACAACCGCCACTTCGGCTATACATGGATTCAATTTGAAGTCTCCAGCCAACAGACTCTATTGACCGAAGACTTGGGGGACTACACTATACACCATATATTGGGCCTCAACTGGGCCTCATGAAAAATACTTAGGGGACTTAGCCCATTATTTATGTACTGAGGAGCAAGCCCTTGTTCTATAAAATGGACTCCCTCACTTTCATTAGAGAGCACTCATGAAAAATACTTGGGGGACTTTAGCCCATCATTTATGTATTGAGGAGCCAGCCCTTATTCTATAAAAGGGACTCCCTCACCACCATTAGAAAGTATCGCCGCCTACTGAGCAACCGCCTCGCCGCGAGCATCAACTCTAGCCCATCACATATGTATTGAGGAGCGAGCCCTTATTCTATAAAAGGGACTCCCTCACCACCATTAGAGAGCATCACCGCCCACTGAGCAACCGCCTCGCCGCGAGCATCAACTCTAGCCCATCATTTATGTATTGAGGAGCGAACCCTTATTCTATAAAAGGGACTCCCTCACCTTCATTAGAAAGCAACGCCGCCAGCTGAGCAACCACCTCACCGCGAGCATCACTCATAACCCATCACGTATGTATTGAGGAGCGAACCCTTATTCTATAAAAGGGATCTCCTTACCACCATTAGAGAGCATCACCGCCTACTGAGCAACCGCCTCACCGCGAGCATCAACTCTAGCCCATCATTTATGTATTGAGGAGCGAACCCTTATTCTATAAAAGGGACTTTCTCACCTTTAACGCCACAAGCCGAGCCAACCAAGGCAACATAAGCCACGAGCCGAGCAGCCTCGCATCATGTGCTACTTCTAGTTGAGCATCATTTCAGATTGAGCACCGCCTCATATCGAACATCAGTTCAAGACAACATCTAGTTACTTCGGCCCACATATGGACTGAATTTCAAGTCTCCAGCCAAAAGGCTCTATTGACTGAAGACTTGAGGAACTACTGTTTATACCATATTTAGGGTCTCGTATTTAGATCTCGTGTAAATACTCGAGGGACTTAAATGTAATTATGTGATAAAGGAAGGGTCAAATATGTAATAAGTGAGGAGTCCTTATTCTATAAAAGGACCCATCACCCTCACAATTAGGAGAGGCCAATTCCTAAGGCTCCTCACCCCCTCTCAGAGCTCTCTCTCCCTCAGAAATATAATCAGTGTGGACGTAGCCCAAACCTTGGGGTGAACCACGATACATCTTGTGTCATTTACATTTATTGCAGATTCACAGTCGGATTTACGTTGTACCAAGACCTCCGATTTTGTGCATCAACAGATGTCTTCATTGAAAAAGGGTTTACAAATTGGAGGAAATGACTCGGAAATTTTCAAGTGCATGAGAGAGGTGTTGGAAGTTTTCATAATAAAGTTATGCAACAAGCTAAAGACTTGATGACACAAAAACAACACATTGAAACATTTGTGATCAAGCAAATTGAGGAAGCTCGCGTTAATTATCACACTTTACTGAGTAGAGCACTTGATTGCACAAGATGGTTGTTGCGACAGGGTTTGGCTTTTCGTGGGCACGATGAATCTTTGAAATCGAGCAATAGGGGTAATTATATAAAGCTTATGCAATTTCTTGCTGATCATAATGAGAAAGTTAGGAAGGTTGTGTTTGAGAATGCACCCAAGAATCTCAATTATACTTCTTCTGATATTCAAAAGGATCTTGTTCGTGCTTGTGCTAGTGAAACTATTAATGCAATCACTAAAGATATGGAAGGTACATTTTTTTCTCTCTTGGTTGATGGATCACGTGATGCTTCCACTAAAAAGCAAATGGCGGTGGTATTGCGTTATGTGAACAAAACAGGAGAAGCAATTGAAAAGTTTTTGGATGTTCAACATGCCTCCTCTACAACTAGTAGCTCACTTGAAGATGCCATTGAGGGATTGTTTTCTACAACAAATTTGAGTATGTCCAAGTTACGAGGACCATGCTATGATGGAGTTAGTAATATGATAGGTGAGTTAAATGGTCTCAAAACAAAGATTTTGAACAAATACCCTCAAGCATTTTATATTCATTGTTTTGCACACCAACTCCAACTAGCTCTTGTATTTGTGGCAAAGGAAAATGAGGATGTTGCCAATTTCTTCATCAATGCAAGTAGTTTGGTGAATCTTATTGGATCATCATGCAAGCGTCATGATGCATTTATAGAGAAACAACAAGAACAAATTCAGAAAGCTCTTGATCTTGGTAATCTTGAAACGAGTAAAGGGTTAAATCAAGAAAGTAGTCTCATGTGTCCATGTGATACACAGTGGAACTCGCATTATGGTACTATAGTTAGTGTTATTGTTATGTTTGAAGACGTGGTAGAGGTGGTTGAATGGATTAAAAATGATCGTAACCAAGATAATCTCGGTGAAACAACTAGGTTATTCAAAGACATATAAACTTTTGATTTTGCGTTTCACCTTTTCTTGATGAGACTTATATTGGGAATTACTAATGAGTTATCAGAAGCATTGCAAAAGAAAGATCAAGATATTGTGAATGCGATGGCGTTAGTGGAAGTATGCAAGCAAAGACTACAATCCTTGAAAGATGATGACTTTGGGGACTTGTTTCTTGATGTAGAAAGGTTTTGTGAGGAGCATGATATTATCATTCCTAACATGGAGGATTTGCATTTTGTACCTGGAAAATCAAGGCATAAAGCTCCAAAAACCACAAACTTCCATTACTATCGTGTGGACCTCTATTTTCAAGTCCTTGTTTTGCAACTAAAGGAATTGATTGATCGCTTCAATGAGGTAAACACCAAGTTGCTTCTTTGTATGGCATGTTTGAGTCCGGTGAATAATTTTGCATTTTTTGACAAATAAAAAATTGTTCGCTTAGCCCAACTTTATCCTTAAGATTTTGATCGTATGAACCTCATGAATCTTCCAATTCAACTTGACAATTACCTTCATGATATGAAGATGCATAGTGAGTTTTCATCATTGAGAATAATTAGGGATCTTGCAAAAGAGTTAGTGAAGACCGGGAGGTGTGAAAGCTATAAGTTAGTGTACAAGCTTCTTACATTGATTTTGGTGTTACCGGTTGCAACAGCTTCGGTGGATAGAGCTTTTTCTGCTATGAAGATTGTAAAAACACCATTGCGTAACAAAATGGGAGATCAATGGTTGAGCGATAGCATGGTTGTTTACATTGAGAGAGATGTTGATAATGAGCTTATATGCGACGTTTTCATGACATGAAACCTCGTCAACAACAATTGTAATTTGTTTGTATTGATTAATTATGGAAGACATTACTATATAAAAAGATGTAGTTGTTGCCATTTTTCTTTAACCTTGCACTCTTTTAAGTTCACCCCTCCCCTCGAGAAATCCTGGCTTTGCCACTAGGCACATGTATGTCATTGAATCGAAAGAACATGAATGAATGGTACCCAACACTACCTTTCGTGTTTGGCTTGCAAGAAAATTAAGAAATTTTCAAGGAGATTTCATAAGCCTCCTTTATCTGGAATTCTATATGATCATGTCTGTATGTGTGTGAGTGTGTTAGTTGTAGTATGGATTCAGGGTTTCCTTTTTTTTGGGTTTTGTGGTGGTTTCTGCAGTGTGAAGTGACGGGAAAGAGTGCTTCGTTTAAAATTGGACTATGTGTGTGTGTGTTTCTGTGACTTCCTATTTGGATACAAGGTTTTCCTTTTTTTCGGGTTTTGTGTTGGGTTCTAGAATGTGAAGTGATAGCAACAGTGTTTTCTCAAAAAAAAAAAAAGAGAATTTATGTCAACAATATTCTTAAGGGTAATTAAGACCTTTTACTTGAGTTTTTGGTTAACATTATAAAAAGTTAAAAAACATGGTTAAAATTCAATTGGTACCTTTAAAATTAACTATTTTTCAACATTTCCCATTGTATTTTACGTTTCTTCAATGTAAGGAGGAATCTATAGCGTTACAAATGTGTGTAACACACACCACGTCAAAAATACAATTACCCTAATTAGTTTGCCCGAAGACTATTCTTTTTAGAAAGAAAAAAAGGATGAAATTAATTTGAAAAACAATTAAACTTGAACCGAATAAGTTTCGCTAACTGCAGGTTACAATAAAATTAAATAGTTATTTCTACAAATTTTTATCGTAGTACTAAGATTTTATTTAAATAAGAGTAAATGCTAGTGATACGTACATAGTTGATATTTTTACTCCCCAAAGCCCCTCCTCCGACTGCACCCCACTACGTGGGTCTGCCTTCTACTGTCTTTGAACAAATTTGTGTTGGTAGAGTTTTTAGTAACCGTTTAGGAGTTTATTTCTACATTAATTTTTTGTCACTAAAACAATGTATCTAACTGACACTTCTATATCGGTTTGTACTATAAAAGTGAAATATCACTGATAGGATTAAAAGCACACCACAAAGTAGCACACAAATGTCCTATTGATTTTCCTTATTAAAAATAAGATTTGTCAATTGTAGCATATGAAAATAAGGGTCTTTCCCGCAGAAGATTGTTTTATCTAACTACCTAAAATGTCACAAAAACTGGGTTGCTGTCCCTACTGACCAGCCACCGAAAAATAATTATTAGACCGACTTATACTTATCTAAAGTCTACGAAATTTTATATGCAGATACTAGACACACAAAGCTACACTCGCACAAATTTTTGGGATTTTTGGAGTTGATTTTCTATTTAAATTAAATCGAACAAAAACAGGATAGAAACAAATTTTAAGTAGTTCACAAATTAAGAAAACGAGTTAGGGGTATTGCTATCCACCACCAAATAATCATGCAAACATGTTATGTTTCATTCAAATTTCTTTTATTTCCGGATGAAGATGCTCAAGTTGGCTCAATGTTAGAACTCAACCTATTACTCTTTCTTACGTAGTATGTTAAGAGAATGGCGTTTTCAACTTAACTTAGTCCCTAGCATGCAATCTAGAATGGCGTGTTCATAGATTTAACAAGTAGAAATCATTAAGAACGAAAAGAGTTTGAGTCATCACAAGGCATCGTAAGTACTGGCGTTGTCTTACTTATCCTAGAAATTGGTTCACATGTTAATCGCAATTAACAAGTACTACTTTAGAACATATGTAGGTCCTCATTCGACAAGGGGCAGGCACACACATATTCATAGCATTAGAATCCTAGATATGCTTACTACGTATGCATCCATAGAAAACAAATAAAGAATTCATCAATGAGACAAGTAGTGAACCAAGTTTCATCCATTCATAAAAGTAATTCAACGAAATGTCATAACAAAATTGCAATCATATTCGGGGCTTCAAAACAGCCCCTAACTTCTAAAAAATTAGTTACACATAGTTCTCAAAATAAACCAAAAGAAAAACATGAGTTTGAGAAGATAAAACCGAGAGAAGAGAATGTCAAGATTTCCTCCTTCCTTTCCTTCCTTTCTCAACGCAGCAGCCTTCCCTTTTTTCCTTCCTTTACTTCCTTTTTTTCTATTTTTTTTTTCCTCTAAAGAACTCTCTTTTGCTGCTGCAACCTGCAGCCTTTATGCCCATGCTTGCTGCCCCATTTCTGCTCCATAACTCACCCCACTAACAGCCATTTAGTGATGACAATAAGTGAGAGGAAATGGTAAAACAATTGTAACTTTTTTGGCAACCTTTATGCCAATTACTCCCACTTAATCCTCATCTTTAATTCCATTTCATCTGATATTTGAAGAGGTGTCAGCTGGCTTGTTATTGGCTGCATTAGTTTTGGCTGCTAGTTTTATTGGATTTATTGCCTTCAATGCAGTTACAAACTGCTCAGCGTCTTGGAAACCTTTTAGTGTTAAAACGGCCATAACTTCTTCTAGAAAAAAGATATTAACAATCCGCGAAATGCTCCAGAAAATAAACATCTGTAGCTTTTCAAGCATATAAGGCTCATTCTCTAATTCATTCTGAGCTGTTCGCAACTTGCTTCCAAAGTCAGCTGACCTGCACAAGCAGTTTTGACGAATTTGTTACTTAAAATCCCACTTGTGCTATTTTTCTTTTATTTACTTGACAAATCCTACAAAACACAAAAACAAAGTAAATAGCTCAAAAATATAAGGAACTAACTAAGAAAAGACAAGTGAATTTGATGTAAAATATATATAAATATGAGCTTATCAATCACTCTTTGGCTTCTTGTAAAAAATAAAAAATTCAAATCCCATTTTCCAAATCAAATCTTCTAAACATAGTTTGATATATCAAGTGTCATAATATAAGTGGTTGAATATTTGAATTTTTTTTTTTATAATCGCTTATATTATAACACTTGGTGTACCAAACCGTGTTCTCGGTACACTGAAAAATTTCTCCTAATCATGCATCGTCTTCATTAGAAGAGAGTTTTCTATGTAGTTCTATATAGGGAAATGGTATGGATATTTAATTTATGTGATTTTTCGTGTTTAAAAAGTATTTTCCCTGTCTAATGAACCTTGACTTGGTGAAATTGAGAAATGATATTTAGTTTTTGTGGTGTAGTAATTGCATTACGTGTTTAAAAAGTTTATTGGCGTCCAATGAACTGAGACATGGTGAAATTAAGAAATGGGAGAGTTATCCCATGGCCGCCAACCAAGGTTACGGGGGTCGGAAAAATATACCGAATATCCTGAACCGCATCAATTCCGTACCGAAATCAAATCGAAAAAGGCATCAATTTAAAATTCTACAACGTTGGGTACCCAAAACAGATCCCGAAAAGTTTGATACGGGAATTGGTCTCACAAATGGTTTCGTTTGGTAATCTTGAATCAAACTGATAATATATTTACATATTCTTAAATTAAGGTGTATGTTGTAAAATCGACTGTGGGTGCAGTGGAATAAATGAAATAAGACACAAAATTTCCGAGGTTCCTCTACAGTCAGTGTGACTGGAGTACGTCCTCGGGGCAGCAGTGGTGCTTTCATTATAATTTGAAATAATAGGAGTACAAAGATAACTCTCTCTATTATCTCCTCTCCTCTTCCTCTCATTTCTCTCTTTCTTTTCCTTCCTTTCTCTCCCGTGAACCTCTCACATCTATCTATATCTTTGTTGTGTTTCATAAGGATTGTTTTTATACAAGTAAATCACATGCTAAATAGTGGAAGGGCAACTTGCCCATTATTTGAGTGGACATACATTTCTACAACACTCCCCCTTGGATGGCCACAAGTCTTCGATTGACTCGTTAAAATCTTGATCTATTTTGGATGCTCCTCCTGATGAGTATCTCCCCCTGATTTCAAATCATTTAGGTTGATTGTTAATTGTTCTGCTTTAGTCTCTTAGTAAGAAGAGTTGCTGAAAGAGTTGCTTTACTTGTTGTTAACTTTCCACAGGCTTTTTCTTGAACTGGGTTGTAGGACTTTCTGCTAGACTAGCATCCAAAGGTCTGAATTTACTCATTTTATCT